GTGCTGAGTAGCTGAAGCTCTCATTGGGTCCTTAACTCTGGTAAACATTGAAACTCTATTGAAACTCCCTTTGGCTTTATTATCAAGGTCTGGCCCATAGAGAACAAAATCTTAGGAACCTAATTTAACAGTTATCACAGTCTATTTGTGGTTCCTCTAATTAGACCAATGCTCTTATTTCTGATCCCATCATGCCCATCATTTATAGGACATATTGATCTTCTGGGTACACTATCATTTCGCTTGGTACAAAACAAATTATCTCATGATTTTATTCCAAATTTTAAAAGTATGGTTAGTTCATAACCCCTCTACATTATAGCAATGCACCCAGCAGGCAGAGTGATTTAAAATAATGCTATACCACATAATAACTAGGATCATTAGTCACGCTATGAATGGCTAGGTTTACATGTGAATGTCTTAGAATGACAAAAGAAAATGTATGTTATATGTTCACATTTTTCTGTGTATTTTCTGACTTTTGAAGTTAGTTTTTCCGAATGGATATATAACAACTTATATAAGAATGCTTTAGCAATCACACGTTTTCCCTATTACATTTTATATTATTTCTATTGCACTAACAACCAAAAGTACACACATACATATAGGAAGACACAGGGCTTGATCCTCCTTTTGCTTACCACCTCCTTTTGCTTACCTTTTGCTTGATCTTCCTTTTGCTATTGGGCCTGCATCTCTACTGCCTTGCACCTTGGGCCAGATCTTCAGCTTGTTTAAATCAGTAGCTTCATTGACTTCAATGGAACTATACCAGCTTGTACCAGCTGATGATCTAGCTACTTATGAAGTCATTTACACATGTGCAAAGTGAATGCAAACTGGGTGCAAAACATTATCAACTCAGAATTGTGTAAGGCAATGGAGAATCAGGCCCATTGAATATAGGGGAGGTGCACCTGTATGAGAGCAAAATCCGGCACATAGTCCTAGCTTCAAAGAGTTTAGAATATAAGACTAGCAAGAGATTAAGGGTTGGGCAAAGGGACAAAATGATGGGCAAACGGTGCACCCAGACTTGAACCTTTTGATCTGCAGTCATAATTAGGCTTGGCAGAATTTGATTTTTTATAATTTTGGTAAGATAATATTGGTGTTTCTTTTTAAGCATTTTTTTTATTTTTAAATTTTCACAGTTGCACAAAATTATGGGTTTTAAGTATTTTTTAAAATGTATTGATTTAAATTTTCACAGTTGTGGGAAATTATGCGTGGTCAGACAGTAATTATTTAATGACAGGAGAAAATTCAAGCTTTATAACTGTTAAAATACAAATTGTCAACATCACATGTCAAAACATACAAAGTAAATATACTTAAATCAAACTCTAATAAGTTCTTAAGCAGCATTTTTCTTAATTTGCCTATCTGTATATTTTGATTACTGTTACTGTAAATATTTTTTCATCGGTTTGTGTGTATATAGTGAAATTGACTTTTACCGACAGTCACCAATAAAAATCTAATCCTTTCAAGCCTAGATATAATGCTTTTGTTTATATATTTAGAACACTAATACAAATTGCTTGGATAATTGAAGCTTTGTGATATCCTTTATGTCGGATATATGTGGATCTGGAACAAAGAAGGTGCAGGTTATCTTTAATTACAAAAGACAAGAACCACTTAATCAACAAAGATATCAGATGCAAGGTACAATACGTGTGTTCTAGTATTAAAGAGTTACTCCTAACTTGCAATCTGTTTAATTTTTAAAAATGGATTAAAAGTAATTTCAGGTACTATTCCTGCCCCAAGTCCCCCTGCCAAATTTTTTGATTTTACATTAAAGTTTCCAATTTTTTTCTCCTCTATTCCTGTGTGAACAACAGGGCAAACCATTACGTAAAGGATAGATTGTACTTTTGGGCACAGCCCTGGATGTGGAGCAGAGTATACCTGCATTGCCTCAGGAGGAGCACCATGAAGGCATTGTACCTGAGAGACACCCCTCTGAGACAGTTCCTCCAGAGCAGCCTTTTTTCCCCACTGTAGAGCGAGTATGCTGAGTGAGCCCTTTACAAGACAAAGTACACTCCCTATAGAGCCATTCTGGCCCAAGTCAGCTGACTCAGGCTCATAGAGCTTGGGCTGCAGTGCTAAACATTAGTGTAGATGTTCGGGCTCAGGTTGGAGCCTGGCCTCTGAAACCTCTGGGTCTCAAAGCCCAGGCACCAGACTCAGTCCGAACATCTACACTGCTATTTTTAGTCCTACAGCCTGAGTCCAACAAGCCTGATTCAATTAACCCAGGCTCTGAGACTTGGTGCCGTAGGTTTTTTATTGCAGTGTTGATGTACCCTAAGTCCACCTTTGCACCCCTTTCCCCTCCTAAGCCACACGGGGTGCAAAAAGCCAGACATCAGAAACTGACCAATAGTGCTGTCAAATGCACAAGGTAAACACTCTGAAAAAACAAAAAAAAATATTTTCTCTAATCTTTCTTTTATAATAATCTTAGGTTTTACTTGTAACTTAACAGGTACAAAAATTTTCAGACAGAAGTGTAATTTTTAAGTTGACATTGTTCCCTTAAAGGTCCAGTTTCTGTCTTCAGGTTCACCTGTGCAACCCCACTGAAGTCTTGTTTGAGTTCAGAAACTTAATCTAGAGCAGGGGTAGGCAACCTATGGCACGCGTGCCGAAGGCGGCATGCAAGCTGATTTTCAGTGGCACTCACACTGCCCGGAACCTGGCCACCGGTTCAGGGGGCTCTGCATTTTAATTTAATTTTAAATGAAGCTTCTTAAACATTTTAAAAACCTTATTTATTTTACATACAACAATAGTTTAGTTATATATTATAGTCTTATAGAAAGAGACCTTCTAAAAATGTTTAAATGTATGACTAGCACGCGAAACCTTAAATTAGAGTGAATAAATGAAGACTCGGCACACCACTTCTGAAAGGTTGCTGACCCCTGATCTAGAGTGACATCTACCAGTGTGTGTACAAACCCCACACTGGGCCTGAAGGGGTTCAAGGACAATACTGGGCCCAGGTAGCCCTGCCCCTCCAGACCTGCAGAGCATGCTCCAAGTGAAAAGGGAGCAACTCAGCCCAGAAGTGGGAAGGCTGGGGAGGAAGACTGACCTACCCTGAGGGCTCCTGGACAAGAGTATTGGACAAGCCTCCCCACAAAGAACAAGACTGTATGCTGACCTCGGCTGGAGCTGAAGGTTTAGTTTTCTTTTTTCATGTTTTTTTAACCTTATTTTGGACTTGGAGCTGGGGGAGAGAAACAGAGGGTAGGAACCGACCCAACTCAGGGCACTCTGGGTGCCAGACACGGCTGACTCTGTTTGGGCCCTGGGTTGGAGCCTGGTAGAATAGGAGGGCCTGGGCTCCCCTACCAACTGCCCCTACTGCAGAAGGGGCATCAGCCTTATGCCCACCTCACTCTGCTTTTGGTAAGAAGAGGGACTGGATGAAAGACTTCCCAGCTGAGAGCTGGCACTAGGCGTGCTAATCACTAGCCCGCAGAGGACTCTAATGCAGTGATTGAATATTTAATGGGAAGCCGAAGACAAGTCTTACATTTAATTTAGAGCTGTCAAGCGATTAAAAAAATTAATCGTGATTAATCACATGATTAAAAAATTAATCGCAATTAATTGGATGATTAATTGCACTGTTAAACAATAATAGAATACTATTTATTTAAATATTGTTGGATGTTTTCTACATTTTCAAATATATTGATTTCAATTACAACACAGAATACAAAGTGCACAGTGCTCACATTATATTAATTTTTTATTACAAATATTTGCACTGTAAAAAAACAAAATAAATTGTATTTTTCAATTCACCTAATACAAGTACAGTAGTGCTATCTCTTTATCATGAAAGTTGAACTTACAAATATAGAATTATGTACAAAAATACCTGCATTCAAAAATAAAACAAATGTAAAACTTTAGAGCCTACAAGTCCACTCAGTCCTACTTATTGTTCAGCCAATCACTCAGACACACAATTTTGTTTACATTTGTAGGAGGTAATGCTGCCCCCTTCGTGTTTACAATGTCACCTGAAAGTGAGAACAGGGATTCGCATGGCACTGTTGTACTGGCGTCGCAAGATATTTACGTGCCAGACACACTAAAGATTCATATGTCCCTTCATGCTTCAACCAGCATTCCAGAGGACATGTGTCCATGCTGATGATGGATTCTGCTCGATAACAATACAAAGCAGTGTGGACCGACGCACGTTCATTTTCATCACCTGTCAGATGCCACCAGCAGAATATTGATTTTCTTTTTTGGTGGTTTGGGTTTTGTAGTTTCCGCGTCAGAGTGTTGCTCTTTTAAGACTTCCGAAAGCATGTTCCACACCTCGTCCCTCTCAGATTTTGGAAGGCACTTCAGATTCTTAAACCTTGGGTCCAGTGCTTTAGCTATCTTTAGAAATCTCACGTTGGTACCTTCTTTGCATTTTGTCAAATCTGCAGTGAAACAACATGTGCTGGGTCATCATCTGAGACTGCCATAACACGAAATATATGGCTGGATGTGGGTAAAACAGAACAGGAGACATACAATTCTCCCCCAAGGAGTTCAGTCATAAATTTAATTAATGCATTATTTTTTAATAAAAAGAACAGGAGTACTTGTGGCACCTTAGAGACTAACAAATTTATTAGAGCATAAGCTTTCGTGGGCTACAACCCACTTCTTCGGATGCATATAGAGTGAAACATTGAGGAGATATATATACACACATACAGAGAGCATGAACAGGTGGGAGTTGTCTTACCAACTTTTAATGAGCATCATCAGCCTGGAAGCATGTCCTCTGGAATGGTGGCCAAAGCATGAAAGGGCATTTGAATGTTTAGCGTATCTGGAACATAAATACCTTGCAATGTCAGCTACAAAATGCCATGTGAACGCCTGTTCTCACTGTCAGGTGACATTGTAAATAAGAAGTGGGCAGCATCATCTCCCATAAATGTAAACAAACTTGTTTGTCTTAGTGATTGGTTGAACAAGAAGTAGGACTGAATGGACGTGTAGGCTCGAAAGTTTTACATTGTTTTGGTTTTGAGTTATGTAACAAAAAAAAATCTACATTTGTATGTTGCACTTTCATGATGAAGAGATTGCACTACAGTATTTGTATTAGGAGAATTGAAAAATACTATTTATTTTGTTTATCATTTTTACAGTGCAGAGATCTGTAAAAATAAAAAATAATAATAAAGTGAGCACTGTACGCTTTGTATTTTGTATTGTAATTAAAATCAATATATTTGAAAATGTGGAAAAAGATCCAAAATATTTAATAAATTTCAATTGGTATTCTATTGTTTAACAGTGCAATTAAAACTGCGATTAATCATGATTAATTTTTTTGAGTTAATCACATGAGCTAACTGCAATTAATTGACAGCCTTAATTTAATTTGTAGAACACTCAAAGTAATTTAGCATTAAGACATGAAAGAACAAGTTTTAGCTGTTTATGTTGACATTCTGTATATAAATGGGTCAAGCTATGTTTTGTATTTCCTTAAGATTTACATTTTGGTATGATGGTGAAGAGGGCCAACCAGCTATTTGGAACATTGCATTGGAAAACTGACACCTATAGCCATATTATAACTTTAATGTACTTCCCTTTTTTTGTTCTGGATGATGTGTACACACAACTGTACTCTGATCATTCATTCAGATGGTACTTATGAAGTAAAGATTGATAACCAAAAAAAAAAAATGGAATCTGGTCATCTAGAAGAAGACTGGGAAATCTGACCTCCCAAAAAGATAAAGGATCCTGATGCAAAGAACTCTGAAGACTGGGATGAACGGAAAATGATTGAGGATCTTGAAGAGAAGAAACCAGCAGTAAGGGAATAATGAATAGCCATATTTCACTCTGGATATCATAACTATGATAATTATTACCTTGAGGTCTCTTGATTTTTCTATATACATTTTTTAATAACCTGGTCTAGACTGGCTGACCTATATTAAACCTACCAGGCCAAATTACATCTTTGGATACATTCTTGCTATTTTCATTTATGTCAATGGGAGTTGCAGCTGTATGTCTGACTGCTGAATTTGATTTATGGGCACTCTAGCGTATTTTGCTTACACTTTTCTCTTAATTCAAGTAGGCAGGATGGAATCCTAGACATTAATGATGGAGAAGATGTATTAAATCATTTAGTCCACTGCCTGCTTATAAATACGTAATAACAATTCATTAATTCACTAATTCTGGCTTGCTTACAAGATCTAAGAAGGATAGTAAACGAATGGCACACAAATGGTCATGATCAAACCCAGTGTTGCTTGAGTTTCTCTTTAGAGAAACTGCTATTTTAATTATGTCACTGCTTTCATTTTGGAATGAGTATCTGTTTTCCAGGAGGAAATTAAAAGTTAAATATTGTTGTGGTAGTTTCAGTTTAGGGTTCATAAGTCTTGACTGTGTCTGTGTTTGTGTGTAGTTAATACAGGTAATTATGAAGGTCAAATGTTAAATCTAGAATAATGTAACAAAATTCAAAATGACTTGCTACTGTGTAGAAGTCTGTAGGACAGACCAGGAAAAGCATGTAACTGTTGCAGGGATTCATGGGGCCTGATTTAGCCATTGAGTTCTATTGACACAAGCCAATAAAACCCAAATTCCAGGCCTCTAGTGGCGGAAAGTCTACTAGGAGCGGAGATACAGCAGCCCAAGCTTCCTGAAGTTAATGCTCAGCTAGAGGACTGGGGCCAGGCTGACCTGAAAATGTACTGACTGAGACCCTCTGTTGGGTAGCCCGTGCTAGCAGCACTCTTACAAAGGCCTGGCTGGCATTTAGCACTACTGGTTTCTAATGGTTGAACTCCTACGTATGGTGGCAGTGGTACCACCACATGCCCGTCTCTAAGTTGTATTCACTCCATCTCAGCTGCTTCTGTGGTTTCAGAGAATCAAATAGCACCAATATTTTACCTGTAGGGGTTAATCTGACTCAGATTTCAGTTAATCAAAACTCAGGATATGTTGGGGGAAAGTGGCACCTGTCCAGATAAAAATATGAAAGGTAATGAAGTTACTGGTTAACCCAGTGAACAAACAAATCTTTATTGTGAACAAAGGCATGCATTTAAGAGAAAATTGGGTATTGTGTAAATCTGTTCCCATGTGAGCAGTAGCATTTCCCAGCAAAGCATTAATTCATTCACAACAAATATATTTTTAGAACTCTTAGCCTTTCTGACACAAATATAATTTCAGGACTGGGACCAGCTAGAACACTTTCCTGACTCAGATGTCAAGAAGCCAGATGACTGGGATGAAAAGATGGATGGGGAATGGGAACCACTGATGATGTCAAACCTGGATTATAAAGTAAAACATTGTTGCATATCCTTACTGTGATTAAGGATAATAATAATAATAGATTCAATACGGAATGGAAATAATATCAGGTTCATAAAACTCTAATCCTGAGACTGTAGAAGAGACAGTACAGGTTTTTCTAAATCTCACAGTTAATGCTTAATAAATATTGAATCTCATTTGTCTCATTCGTATTGTGAACTCCTTGGGGGCATGGCCTCTGCCTTTTCTAGGGCCAGGTTCTGTCATCTTTATTCATGTTAAAATCACCCAGTGATCTGAAAGTCTATCTGAGTTCTTTCCTATTTGAATATCATCATCAGTAATTTTGACCCATCTGAAGTTTATTATTGGTAGGTTAAAATTCACCATGCTCTTCAGTTACACCTTGACTACACCTGTAGTACACCTCATTTGGTTCAAGGTTACTGGTGATAATGTGTAAACAGGTAAAAGCTCACCCTGATGTTTAGATCCCAGGGTGAGTTTTTAGGGCTGGCAGTGAATTTAAAAACATTGTTTTACTTGTAATCTTAGGAAATTGGATCTGAAAGCTATCATGGGACAGTGAACATGATGCTCCATGGCCTGGTTTTCACATTGTCACTTTTCAAAGTAGAACCATGCTTCAAATATTTTTTTCCTGTGGTTGCCTTAAAATAATTAGAATGCGTTTACAATTGCCGCCAGAAGTTCATTCAGGAAAGGATAAACAAAGTCATATTTTATGAGTGGCCTCTGATCTTTACGGTTATAGCTGTTCAGTTCCATCAGTGAAGTCTGGTACAATCTTTGATAATTTTCTTATTTCAAATTATGAACATTTTACTGAAAAAGTTGGAAATGAAATATGGGGAGTTACAAAGGCCCATGCTATTGAATGAAACTTAAATTCCAGCAATTATGCATGTGCGCCCTTCAAATGGTCTCATAAAAGACTGAGTCAACAGGTATATTTCTGAATTAGTTATACTGTTAAATTAATTTAGAAAGAGAAAATTAAGCAGACATGCAAAAAGCACATAGTTTTTGTTCAGAGGCCTCCCATGTTGGTCCAGTTGTGTATGTGTGTACGCCATACAAGAATAGATGTTAAAGTGTTAGCTAGCCATGCATACGTTTCTAGAAATAAGACAATAGTGCCTATTATTCACCTCAGCCTTTGATTTGCGTCAGAAATATTTGCTACATGAAAAGTAATAATTTTCAGCCTCATAAAAATACATTTTTAGATGCCCTCTTGTCTGTCAGATTAACTTACTGGAAAATTATATGATGTGACGTATAGTAAAATGACTATTAATTGCACTGAGAGAGAGACAAGGTGGGAGAGTTAATATCTTTTATTGAACAAACTTCTGTTGGTGAAAGAGACAGGCTTTCGAGCTCCACAGAGCTCTTCTTTAGGTCTGGGAAAGGTAATCAGAGTGCCTTAGGTAAATACAAGGTGGAACAGATCCTTAAGCATAAGAAGGGAACATGTGTGGCAAGAAACTATTCAAAATGAAGTGGGCAATTAACACCTCTGCAGTCATAGGACAAAGGAGAGTTAGGCTTTGTCTACACTACCTCGCTTTTAGCGACACAACTGTGCCGCTACAGCTGTGCCACTGTAAAGGCACGCAGTGTTGCTGCTATTTGTCAGCAGGAGAAAGCTCTCCTGCTGACAAAAATCTTCCACCCCACATGAGTGGCAGTGGCTTTGCCGGCAGGAGAGTGCTTCTACCAGCAAAGCACTGTTCACACCGGCACTTTTTGTTGGTAAAACTTTTGTCGTTGGGTGTGTGTGTGTGTGTTTTTTAACACCCCTGAATGACAAAAGTTTTGCTGATGAAGTTCCAGTGTAGACAGAGCCATAGTGGGTTACAGTTTGTTGTAATGAGACATAAAACCAGTGTCTGTTGAATCCATTATTTTTGGTGTTTAGCAGAGTTCTGAATTTAAGCTCCCAGGCTTGTCTTTTTAAGGTCTTGTGCTGGTTTCCTTGGAAGACGAGGATTGAGAAGTTAGATATGCAGAGATCGTTTTGTGAAAAGTGTTCACCCACAAGTCATAGGGTGGTTTGGTCATTAATCATTTTTCTGTGTGAGTTCATTCAAAAGCATAGTGATTGTTTCACCCACATAACTGTTGTTGAGGCATTTGATGCACTGGATGAGGTACACCACTTTTGTGATAGGCATGTGTAAGACCCATGGATCTTGAAAGGTGTATGGTGGGCAGTATTGATCATCATAACAGTGGAGATATGGCTGCAGGTTTGGCATTTGTTGTTATGGCAGGGCCTGCTGCCACTTTGAGTTGATGTGTCCTGGTCTGTGGGGAACTTGGTTTTGATAATGAGCCTAGTGAGATTGCAGGGTTGTTTGAAGGGCAGAAGAGGGGGTTCAGGAAATATTTCTTTCGAGATGTGGACCCCATCTAATATGGCTTGAAATTGTTTGATGATACTCCATATGGGTTATAGTGTGGGGTGCTAGGTGACAACTAGGGGTAGGCAGTCAGTGGAGAGCTTACTTGTATTATCAATTTTGAGAAACATTCCACTTTTTTTTTTAAAAGTAGAAATACACAGTTTAGGATAGTAAACTATATGTGGGCAATGAGGAATGATGGGTACCTTGTGAAAATATCTACTTGGATCACAAGTGATAGTTCAGTAGTCGAGGGGGGGAAAAAA